ACCTTGGGATTCATCGCTATCCTATTTGGATCAGATTAATGGATCCTGAAGATCGTCATGATCTCCCACGCACCTTAATGTTGGACTTTAATCTGGCACTTTGCACATTATTAGTCACTGCATAGTGACACATTAGAGCACTGTTCTATCACTTGATTTATTGATGTGCTTTATTATGTTTTATTCATCTTATAGCTGGTTTATTTGAGGTGTTTACATGCATTAATGACACGTTTCTCATGCTATTTTTAAGTTATTTATTCATTGGATTTTGACATTTTTGGGTTCCACCCATTTTATCATATCATTTACCCTGGTTATTTTAGCGCTACACCCTGCATTGTTAATATATGCCAATGCTGGGCATATATTTGTTCAACTTCCTTATACTGAACATGAAAATCCGATACAAAACCGCACTGATGTTTATTATCACCTCTATTCACTTGTTTATTTATCAAACACTGTTCCCTAGGTAAAGTCAGGTCCATAAATATTGGGACATCGACACAATTCTAACATTTTTGGCTCTATACATCACCACAATGGATTTGAAATGAAACAAACAAGATGTGCTTTAACTGCAGACTGACAGCTTTAATTTGAGGGTATTTACATCCAAATCAGGTGAACGGTGTAGGAATTACAACAGTTTGCATATGTGCCTCCCACTTGTTAAGGGACCAAAAGTAATGGGACAGAATAATAATCATAAATCAAACTTTCACTTTTTAATACTTGGTTGCAAATCCTTTGCAGTCAATTACAGCCTGAAGTCTGGAACGCAGAGACATCACCAGACGCTGGGTTTCATCCCTGGTGATGCTCTGCCAGGCCTCTACTGCAACTGTCTTCAGTTCCTGCTTGTTCTTGGGGCATTTTCCCTTCAGTTTTGTCTTCAGCAAGTGAAATGCATGCTCAATCGGATTCAGGTCAGGTGATTGACTTGGCCATTGCATAACATTCCACTTCTTTCCCTTAAAAAACTCTTTGGTTGCTTTTGCAGTCTGCTTTGGGTCATTGTCCATCTGCACTGTGAAGCGTCCAATGAGTTGTGAAGCATTTGGCTGAATATGAGCAGATAATATTCCCGAAACACTTCACAATTCATCCGGCTGCTTTTGTCAGCAGTCACATCATCAATAAATACAAGAGAACAGGTTCCATTGGCAGCCATACATGCCCACACCATGACACTACCACCACCATGCTTCACTGATGAGGTGGTATGCTTAGGATCATGAGCAGTTCCTTTCCTTCTCCATACTCTTCTCTTCCCATCACTCCGGTACAAGTTGATCTCGGTCTCATCTGTCCATAGGATGTTGTTCCAGAACTGTGAAGGCTGTTTTAGATGTCGTTTGGCAAACTCTAATCTGGCCTTCCTGTTTTTGAGGCTCACCAATGGTTTACATCTTGTGGTGAGCCCTCTGTATTCACTCTGGTGAAGTCTTCTCTTGATTGTTGACTTTGACACACATACACCTACCTCCTGGAGAGTGTTCTTGATCTGGCCAACTGTTATGAAGGGTGTTTTCTTCACCAGGGATAAAGAATTCTTCGGTCATCCACCACAGTTGTTTTCCGTGGTCTTCCAGGTCTTTTGGTGTTGCTGAGCCCACCGGTGCGTTCCTTCTTTTTAAGAATGTTCCAAACAGTTGTTTTGGCCACGCCTAATGTTTTTTCTATCTCTCTGCTGGGTTTGTTTTTTTTTTTTCAGTCTAATGATGGCTTGCTTCACTGATAGTGACAGCTCTTTGGATCTCATCTTGAGAGTTGACAGCAACAGATTCCAAATGCAAATAGCACACTTGAAATGAACTCTGGACCTTTTATCGGCTCATTGTAATTGGGATAATGAGGGAATAACACACACCTGGCCAAGGAACAGCTGAGAAGCCAATTGTCCCATTACTTTTGGTCCCTTAACAAGTGGGAGGCACATATTCAAACTGTTGTAATTCCTACACCGTTCACCTGATTTGGATGTAAATACTCAAATTAAAGCTGACAGTCTGCAGTTAAAGCACATCTTGTTCGTTTCATTTCAAATCCATTGTGGTGGTGTATAGAGCCAAAAATGTTAGAATTGTGTCCATGTCCCAATATTTATGGACCTGACTGTATATTCCGTATCTCCTCAATAGTCTCATGGAGGGTTTCCCTTTCATATCCATTTTCAACAAACATCCACAATTAGCTTTGATTGATTTATAAAGTCACTTTCTTCATGACGGTTTCTTCTTATACGCATTATTTGACCTTTTGGTATGTTTTTAACCCACAAAGGATGATGCCCAGTATGACAGGGTAAATAACTGTTGCAATCTGTTGGTTTGAAATACGTTTTGGAAAATAAAGAGTCATTCTTCCTAAATATAATTAGATCCAAAAAAATGAATTCATCTCTATTGTACTGACAATCTAATTTGATGTGTTTTGGAATATGATTTAACTTATCCAAAAACTGAATCAGTTCTACCTCAGGACCTGCCCAGATGAAGAACAGGTCATCAATAAATATTTTGTATAGCAGAATCTGGTTACGGCCATGGTTGAAGACATATCTGTGTCACGATCAGGGGTCAGGCTCGAAGACCAATTGTTATAGCAGTGGAAAGGCTCACCTGAAGCCAGCAGGATAGGTACACAGGCAGGTCATTGTGGAGGAGGAGTGGGCTCACCCGACGTGTGGAGTCTGGAGGTGGTAGCATTATAGGTAACGCTGAAAGAGCGTTGTGACAGGTAGGATGAGAGCCAGGAGAGAGCAGAATCTCTGAGGCTGAGGGAGTGTAGTTTTTTGAGGAGGAGGGGGTGGTCGACTGTGTCGAAGGCCGCAGAGAGGTCCAAAGAGTAGGAGCACTGAATAGTGGCCATTAGCTTTGGCAGTTAGCAGGTCGTTGGAGAGTTTGAGTAAGGCAGTTTCGGTGGAGTGTAGGGGACGGAAGCCGGACTGTAGGGGATCGAGGAGGTTGTTGTCGTTGAGGTGAGAGCATAGGCGGGTGTAGACTAGGCGCTCGGGGAGTTTAGATGTAAATGGGAGCAAGGAGATGGGTCTGAGGTTGTTCGGGTCATTGGGGTCCAGGGAGGGCTTTTTAAGTATGGGGGTGATGTGTGCACGTTTCAGAGGGGAGGGGAAAGTGCCGGAGGAGAGGGAGAGATTGAAGATGTGGGTGAGGGAGCGTAGGATGGATATGCACCTAATTTACAAATTAAGGCTGATATCAAAGCCCTTTTTTTTCCCTTCTGGGATAAAGGTTTTACATAAAATTAATACAAGCTGACCCTCTAACTGCCATTTTTGCTTGATGGCTTGGTATGTTAAAGCCTCAGCGTCTCTCTAAGCTCTCTCCCTCCAATTAAATCCTATGACAAGAGAGAGGGGGGCAGGGCTGAGCCCCGCTGTCTTTGTGTATAGAGGCAGAAGGCAGACAGTGGGGCTTGGTAGCGAGCCTTCATGAGTGCCCCCATAGGAGTCAAAGAGGAAAAAAGATTTAATATCCAAATGTGAAAAGGCTTCTTCACAGTAAAAACTGTAAAAATGTGGAATAGACTCCCTCAAGAGTTGGTTCTGGCCAGCTCAGTGGATTTTTTTCAGAAAGGTCTGGACTCTTCTCTAAATGTGCATAATTTAACTGGATACTAATATGTATAGATAAAGTTGACCCAGAGAACATTCAATTGCCTCTTGGGGGATCAGGAACAATTTTTTTCCCCTGTTGGAGGAAATTGCATCATGCTTTGCTGGGGATTTCTTTTTTTCCTTACTCTGGATGAACTGTGAGTATTGGAAAATGTATATGGAGGTTTTCTATTTAAGTGTGTGTGTGTGTGTGTGTGTTTCTCTGTTGGTTGAACTGGATGGACTGGTGTATTTCTTCAACCAGATTATCTTTGTAACTATGCTGTCTCTGAGCCAATGAGGAGGGAGAGAGAGCCAGGAATGCTGCTGCTCTAGTGCACATCGCTGGATCGAGATCATGCTCAGGTAAGTATAAGAGAGGGCTGAGGAAGCTGCATGCAGCAGGTTTTTAAACTTTCAGCCTTTGGAACTGCTTTAATGTGAGCTCCTAAGGAAAAAAAATGAGGGCATTGCCCTTAATGAATTGATTTTATATGGTCAGGAGTTGAAGATAATGTCTTAATCTTGGCTTCATTACCTTTTGAGTCACCAACCTAAAACAAACCCATATGGTGGGAGTTCATATTTTCAGGTTCTAATAGGTACATTGTAGATCCAAATAGTTACATTGTAGACCCCCATACCCTACATTTTCAACATGGCTCCAAACCACCTCCGCTCATCATTCAAGATATGTTAAGGTGCTGACTCTTATAGCCTGTCTCCTCTTCCACAAAAGTGTCAAACTAAGTGAGAGTCGCACTCCATCTGAAATTCTTTGTATAGTTTTATTCCACGAAAACCGAACAAGTGGGGTCAGTGTATACTTTCATTTATGTCATAACATGTCTTACATACTGAGCTCCTCAGAGCTGCTAGAATTTCTTGATTCCTTACCTTTTGATTCATTACCTTTTGAGTCACCAACCTAAAACAAACCCATATGGTGGGAGTTCATATTTTCAGATTCTAATAGGTACATTGTAGATCCAAATAGTTACATTGTAGACCACCATACCCTACATTTTCAACATGGCTCCAAACCACCTCTGCTCATCATTCAAGATATGTTAGGGTGCTGACTCTTATAGCCTGTCTCCTCTTCCACAAAAGTGTAAAACTAAGTGAGAGTCGCACTCCATCTGAAATTCTTTGTATAGTTTTATTCCATGAAAACCGAACAAGTTGGGTCAGTGTATACTTTCATTTATGTCATAACATGTCTTACATACTGAGCTCCTCAGAGCTGCTAGAATTTCTTGATTCCTTAAACTATATATAATTGGGTTAAAAAGTGGGGTCACAATTATATATAGTAAAGAAAGAACTTTGCTCACACTTGGAGAATGGCCTGTTGATGGAAAGAGGTACACACTGATTAGAGTCCCATAATACATACATACAGCAGCCAGGTGGGAACTACAAGTGGAGAAGGCTTTTTCTGTCGCTTGTTGTGTGATGATAACCTCAAGATGGCAAAGGATATGAAGACATAGGTGACAAAAATGAAAATAAATGGCAAGACAATGACAGGCACTGAAAATATGAAGGCCTGAGTTTTTACTGTAGTTGTGTCTGAGCAAGAAAGCTGTAATATGGGCGACAGATCACAGAAGAAGTGGTCTATTACATTAGGGCCACAGAATTTCAAGTTGGAAACCAGAATGGCAATAAGCAAAGTTACCATGAGGCCAGTTATCCAAGACCATACTACCAAGTTAATTCGCAGTTTGAAGTCCATGATGGCGTTGTATCTCAATGGGTTACAAATGGCCAAGTATCGATCAAAAGACATTACGGTGAGAAGAAAACATTCAGAATTTGTTGAAGCTGAGAAGATGTAAAACTGAGTCAAACACGCAGCAAATGACATCGAGTCACCATCTTTCAGGATGACTGAAAGCATTTTGGGCACAATGTTGGTGGTGGAAATGACTTCAGAAGAAGACAGAAGGCTGAGGAAGAAATACATAGGAGTGTGCAGTCGGCGATGAACTGACACCAATACTACAATCACAACATTCCCTGTTAATGTCACAACGTAGATCAAAAGGAAAATAGTGAAAAGTAAAACCTTCAGATGATAAGCATTCGGAAAACCTAGAAGCAGAATTTCTGCAATTCTTGTCTGATTTTGATCATACATATTAGTAGAAAAATGGTTTCATAGGTCCTGGAAAAGAAAGCAGTTATTGTTGACTAATGAATCTATGGTCATATTGTAAGTACGTACTTGGTTTTGTTGCACGCTCCCTCTAAATGTGTCCTCTGTCATTCTGGTAAAAGTTACCATTGCTTTGCTGCTTACTTACTGTCAGGGCTCCGGGTATGACCAGAGGTATGTGAACTGACGCGGGGAAACGCAGGCTTCAGATATGTTATAAATTATATAATTTATTAATACTAACAATACATAAACGCAGTGCAATACTAAAACATAACACAGTGCAAACGAACCAAACCAAATCACCCACAGATAACAATACATACAATGCAAGCGTAGTCAGGCAGGTCGGGTCAATAACAATCAGGCAGGTAGGAACAGGAGGAGCAGGCAGAGAGTAGTCAGGTCACGAGCCGGGTACAGCAACTAACGGGCAGGTAGGTACAGAGGGTCAGGCAGAGAATGGTCGGGGTCACAAGCCAGGGATCAAACAGGAGAAGTCAGCAGAGGTCCGGATCAGGCAGGGTCGGCAGCGAGTCAGTCAGGCAGGAGCAGGAACAGGAACAGGAATGCAGGTAACAAGATACAGGGGCCCATAGAAAAACACACACCAAGGCACAGACTGCAGGTCTGGCCATCCCTTAAATACACCTGCAATCAGCCTCAGGTGTTTTGGCTGACTGCAGGGTTGAGTCTCTGATTGCTGAGAGCACCCGCTGGCCAGCCCTGGTACTGCAGCCCACAAGGCAGGTGAGTCCCACCATTATTGGCAAGTCCATTCCTGACACTTACTCTGCTGATGATTTAGTAAACTATTACAGACATGTAATAGTATATATAACTTCAATTGAGTATATAAAACATTTGGTGCCCAACCTGTTGCATGTGGGCTGCATACAGCCCTTTGGGAATTACTGTATGTCAGTCAGGGCCTCTGTAGACAGTAATCTGTGTTTTCTTTAGCTAGGTTTTCAGGCCAGGTAAGGACACATGTTCTTAAAATGGTATTAAAGTCAATTTATTTTTCTAAATCAGATAAAATCAACATAGCCTACTTGTGTTGTAAAGCGCTGAGCAAACTGTTGGCGCTATATAAATCCTGTATAATAATAATATTTATGTATTTGATTTTAATTTCCACTTTGAGTTTTCTTTTTCATAGGTCCCTTGGCTGCAGCCCTATATTCCCATTTTCTCTTTGCTCCCTCTGCTGCCTGCGTAAGACTCCACAACACGCATGATCCTGCTTTGTACTAAAACTCTACCTGCAGCCACTCAGAGCTCCTGTCACGGTCAAGGGTAAGGCTTGAAGATCAGTAGCTACAGCAATAGAGAGACTCTCACTGACCATCTGGATAAGTACAGAAGCAGGTCACCATAGCAGGTGCTGCAGGCCTACCTGAGGTGTGGGGTGTAAGCACTGACCTGTTGTAGCACCCTTTAGTGGTGCCAGAGAGTTAGGAAAGTGTAATGGCTCACTCAGTAGTTGAAGTGAGTATGTCTGAGTAGAAAAAAGCTCATGTTAGGCTGGGTGACTCAGCAGATTGGGCCTCTATCACCTTCCTCTGGTTCTGGAGGTCCAAAGGAAGCTTCCAGAAGCTAGTGGGTGAAGGGGTTGACCTGGATCTGCATGTTCATGGGAGTCTGAACAATACCAGGCAAGAGGTCCTGGCAGTGTGGGAAGACCAGCCCATAAATATGGAAGAGTCAGACAGCAAGGGGAGTCTGATAGAAGATGAACTACTGAAGATGCTGCTGTGTAACTGGGGAGGGGACCCCAGGGACGGAAGGTTCTGCCTCCAGGCTGGAGGCTGTAGGAAGGAAGGAAAGGAAGATGACCGAGGGAGCTCTACTGTCTTACAGTTCATCAGGGATGGACAGCCTGCAAGTGGGGAAAGAAACTGGCTCAGTGAGAGGCCTGAATGCAGTTTATCCAAGGCTACAGGATACAAGGACAGTATGAGTACCTCTACACCCCTGTGGCCTACAAGAGAGAGGGCTGTTAGGCACAATACTTAACCAGTTCTCCCAGGGACAGTTCTGAATGCCTGTCTTGGAATCTCTTGCTCCAGGATACTCTTCAAGGATAGTCGGGTGAAGGGGCATATGCTAGCAGGGGTCTGAAGCATTTTTACTTAGAGGGGCCAAGATACCTCTCACAAAGACTGTGCTATTGATTTTTCAAGAGACTGTGCCACTCCGGCTGGAGTAGAAAGTCAAGGATTTTATGCTTTTGTACAGAATTAGGAAGTTGGGCATCCCATATACCCCTAGACCCTATCCAAGTTGTTTACCCCCAAATTAAACAAAAAAAAAAATAAACAAGCTCATGGACTGGTTACTGACTCTGGCAGTTGGAAAATGTGTGTTGCCTGGCTGTGCAGGGTAAAGGGGACCTGATACTCAGCAGCTTCGGTGGGGGTGACCACTACAGTGTATTCACCATAACTCCTGATAGCAGATATAGGTTTTGCTGCATGTTAGTGCCAGGTCACGGTCCTCAGTATAGCCCCTCCGGGAGGTGAGCAAGCTGATGTGCAGTAGCAGTTATCACAGGTATGGATTAAGCAGAAGCAATGGCTTAGACAGGGTGCTGTTCAGCATCTCAGGTGGTTCAGTAAGAAGAACTACTGCTGGATGCAGTAGAGGTCATGGTTTGAGACCCTAGTCATGACAGTTCCTCACACACAGCCAGAGCAAGTGGGACACTGTCAATCACCACTGTGTCTCTCTCATTCTGGTTTGACTCCGGAAAATTAAATAGGACCTGGTGACAATGATAGAATGGGACTATAGTTGCATGGTCAGGAGACAATTAAAAAAGCAAGCTATGAAGAATAAAAAAAGAAAATGCATGCAAGTTGTGTTATTTTTATCTGATTGAGAAAACAATTTACCTAAATACCAAACTTAGAATTAGACTTGATCCTAATAGTTAAAGTAATATTAAAGGCAAATAAAGGCAAAAAAAACAAACATCATACTCTCCTGTTCTTTGCAGTGGTTGTGCAGCCTCGATCCTCCTTTTCTTGGGTCTCCACCGGTAATTCTGGCCCCTCCCTCCTGCCAAGTGCCCCAAGAGGAAGCAGTTTGCTATGGGGGCAACCAAGCAGGCTTGCTGTTGAGTAATTGCTCCTGTGTGTCCATTCACACAAAGAGCCAGTGGCCCCCTCTCTCCTCATTGGCGCACAGGCTGCGATTGACAGCAGTGGGAGCCAATGGCTCCCACTGCTGCCTCAGCCAATGAGGAGGAAGAGTCCCCGGAGAGTCGAGGCTCTTGTGCACATCGCTGAATCACAATGGGGCTCAGGTAAGCATTAGGGGGTGCTGCTGCACACAGGTTTTAACCTTTATACATAGCATGCATGAAGGTAAAAAACCTTTAACCTTTACAACCACTTTATTTGTTTTTCTTCTTTCACACCTTCTTACTTTTTTTTCTGTACTGTCCATGCCTTTGCTTTTTTTTATATCTATTTTCTCTGATCCTTTTAAAGACTGATCTTGCTGAAAGATATATCAATATATACTATATTGCCAAAAGAATTGGGCCAGCCCTCCAAATCATTGGATTCAGGCGTTCCAATCCCCTCCATGGCCAAAGGTGTATAAATCAAGCACCTAGGCATGCAGACTGTTTCTAAAAACATTTGTGAAAAAATGGGTCACTCTCAGGAGCTCAATGAATTCAAGCGTGGTCCCGTGATAGACCGTGTAAAATGACAGGGCGGGATCAGCGCATGCTGAAGCGCACAGTGCACAGAAGTCGCCAACTGTCTGCAGAGTCAATAGCTTAATACCTCCAAACTTGGTGTGACCTTCAGATGAGCCCAACAACAGTAGAGAGCTTCATGGAATGGGTTTCCATGGCCGAGCAGCTGCATCCAAGCCTTACATCACCAAGTGCAATGCAAAGGATGCAGTGGTGTAAAGTACACCGCCACTGGACTCTAGAGCAGTGGAGACGTGTTCTCTGGAGTGACCAATCATGCTTCTCTGTCTGGCAATCCAATAGACGTGTCTGGGTTTGGCGGTTTCCAGGAGAACGGTACTTGCCTGACCGTATTGTGCCAAGTGTAAAGTTTGGTGGAGGGCGGATTATGGTGTGGGGTTGATCAGGGGTTGGACTTGGCCCTTTAGTTCCAGTGAAGGAAACTCTTAAGGTGTCAGCATACCAAGACATTTTGGACAATGTCATGCTCCCAATTTTCTGGGAACAGTTTGCGGATGGCCCCTTCCTGTTCCAACATGACTGCGCACCACTGCACAAAGCAAGGTTCATAAAGACATGGATGAGTGAGTTTGGGGTGGAGGAACTTGACTGTCCTGCACAGAGTTCTGACCTCAACCCCATAGAACACCTTTGGGATGAATTAGAGCGGAGACTGTGAGTCAGACCTCCTCCCCCGACATCAGTGCCTGACCTCACAAATGTGCTTCTGGAAGAATGGTCCAACCTTCCCATAGACACCCTCCTAAACCTTGTGGATGGCCTTCCCAGAAGAGCTGAAGCTGTTATAGCTGCAAAGGGCGGGGCCAACTCAATATTGAACCCTACGGACTAAGACTGGGAGGCCATTAACGTTCATGTGAATGTAAAGGCAGGCCAACCAATACTTTTGGCAATATAGTGTATGTGTAAAAGTGATTTTTAAGGGGGCTGTAGAGAACACAAATGTGGAAGATTTATTTGTAAGTTGCCTAAACAGAACAGAAGTGACCTCTGGAAGGTCCATGACTGTGTCTACACATTTTGATTATCTCCTGAAGCATTTCCTCAGTCTTCAACAACTTATATACACTGTCTGCATGAATAAAAAGATGAATTTTAGTCTTCTATATCTGGAGTTCAGCTTTAAAGTGTTACTAAACCCACACCAGTACAATCAGTCTGTAGATGCAGTAAAGCATGCTTGTTATACTGTGGAACCTAAGGGGTTAATCCTCTGCATTGTTTAAAAAGTCTGTTTGATCCTGTCTTC